TCCCAAATATGACCCACTCATCAGGCCCCACCCTGCACCACCCTCGTGCTCCCTCCTCAAATTCACACCAGGACCCATCGAGGCAGGTGTTCCTGCCCCACTTTAGAGATAAGGGGGCTCGGATAGCATCACCGGCTGGAGGTTGTAGTGTGAGGAAAAGATACAGGAGGATTTGAATCCAGTTCTGTTGAACTCCAAACCCCAGGCACTGCCCACTCGTTCTATGATGGAAAGTGGGGGGATAGTGCCCAGGCGGCAGGGTGCTGTACACGTAAGCTTGCCTGCCTTGTGCGTTTCCAGGCCGTCATGCCAAGCCTCATCTCTGCACTTTCAGTATTCCCTGCCTGCAGCAGTGCCACTCACTGCCAGCCACTGAGTCAGATCATTGCAGAATCCAACCCCATGCAGAGTAGATCATCCTTTATGGACCAAATACGACTATCTGGCTGGGTGCAGTGGCTCCTGTGATCCCAGCACTTTAGGAGGCCAAGGCGAGCAGATCACCTGAGGTCAGGAGTTCGAGACCAGCCTGGTCAATATGGTGAAACCCCGTTTGTATGAAAAATACAAAAAATTAGTTGAGTGTGGTGGTAGGTGCCTGTAATACCAGCTGCTCAGGAGGATGAATCAGGAGAATCGCTTGAACCTGGGAGATGGAGGTTGCAATGAGCTGAGATCTCACCACTGCACTCCAACAAGTGCACAAGTGCAGAGCAAGACTCCATCTCACAGGAACAAAAAAAAAAAAAAAAAGAAAGAAAAGAAAATCCGTTGATCCTCACATCACGCTTTGCAGTGAGACTCCCACAGCACCTAGCATGACACAGGCAGGGGTCCTGCAGCTTCCAGTCCATGTCCTGGACTGGATAAACGACATCCATGATCCAACCATGGAGCTGGATCCTATGTGACGAGGGGGGCACCTGTCCCTTTGGAGGTGCAAAGAAGGGAGGCAGAGCGGCTGCAGGTGGGCTGCCCTGGTCCTCTCAAGATCTATAGAGACAGACATCTGAGCCATGTCGAATGGGGCCTGCTGCAAAGCTGGGGACTGGTTAATTAACAAAGGGTAGAGTGTCATGACAGCAGCAGTTTTTGGACCTGCAGAAGCTTCCAGATCCTGCAAAGCTAGAATGGATGCACGGCTTAAGCCCCTCCCCCCCCACTTCAGCTGTGACCACTGGTTAACATGTAGCAAGCAGCACTTGGTGCTAATCTGATGGAGTCACGCCTCTGCAGACAACCCTCCATCGCAGGTGTCCTGCAGCCCTTAGGACCAAAGTCAAACTTCCCACTGGGCTGCAAGACCTGCCTGACCAGGGCCTTGCCCAGCTCTGCCTGCCTTGTGCCATCTCCACACTCTCTCCCTGTGAATGTGTCCCCTCTCTCCTGCCATAGGCTTCTGCACATGCTTCTGCCACCCCCCTGGAGCTGTGGGGCCAGGACCAGCCACCAGTGAAATCCCATCCTTGGCCCCGGGCTCCTGAGTCTGCCAGAGGCTGTCGTATCAGCCCACAGACAGCTTCTGCAACAGACAACCGAACCCCGGGGGTACCCAGGACCAGGTGCTGATGAACTGGTACTCGGGAGAGTTCTCACTCCCTGCTGGGGACCTTGGCCACATGCTGCCATTCCTGGCCCTTTGTTCCTCATCTGTAAGATGTGCATAATCGCAGCTGCCTTGTGGGACTCTTATAGATTCTGTCCCCTAGTGTGACAATACTTCGTTACCTTGGACCCATGGGGTTTTGCTGTCAATACCAGGATGGCAACCAAGGACATGCCCATGGTTCGCCCTTACCGACAAGATCCAGCCTTAGGTCGCCAAGCAGCTCCCTGCTCGCTGCCAGTGAACCCTCCCTTTCTCAGCCCACGGCCCCTGCCCCGGTGGACTTCCAGCACCTGACCCTGCAGGCGCGCTTCCAGGAGCTCAGAGGCCACTGCCCTGGTGGATGATGCCCTGGAAGCATACACTCCCCCTTGACAGAGAGCTGTGCACATCAGCAGAGGGCAAGCCAGCAGCGAGCTTCGCAGGCCCTGGATGGCAAACAGACTCCAGTCTGGATCCCAGGCCCACAGGAGAAGCTTCACCCTGGCAGTGTCAGGGAAAGCACTTGGGTGCCTGAACACAAATGACTGTCATCACCTGCTCCCAGCACTCAGGGTCTACCTGCTGCCCAGTACTGAGCGGCCAAGCCCTATTACTCCAGGTTGTCTCCTCCAGCAACCCTTTCCTCTCTGAATTCCCAGCTTCCCAATTCTTTCCCTGAGGCCGTGGGAGGGCCTCGGCTTCTCTGGCTGGCTGGCAGGCCAGCACTTGCAAGAGTGAGCGGCTCAGCAGGGCAGATGTGGGCTTTACAGACCTGCCTGGGGGACCCAGTGCAGACCGGGCTTCTCTGTGCCTCAGTCTCCATCTGGTAATGTGGGCACAGTAATAATTACCCTCAGAACATCTTCCAGATCAGAAAATGTAAAACGGAACCTGAGATGGCATTGTCACCACATAAATGGTAGCTATGAACTAAGCTCCTCATGCACCAGATGCTCCCAGCAGTCACTAAGGTTCCAGAGGGGAAACTCAGGTGGTACTCAGAGACATTTTCAAGAGCACTGATTTGTCCTCAAAGTTACAGATTTCTACTCAGTCCCTGCGCCAGCGGTGTTTCTGTTCCTCAGTTCATCAGCACTGAAGAAGATAAAGAGACTTTCTGGAGCTGGGAGTAGGGGTGGCGGTGTGCCCTTTGTGACAGTTGCTCCCATGCTGGGTGTGTGACAAGGTCTTCGTGGCCAACAGAAAATTGCTTCATCTCTCTCATCTGAGCGTGGTTTCCCAAAAGAAACCTATCACCCCTGGGAGGCAGTGGATGCGGAGCTGTTTCTGGCCAGGATACTCCCAAGAGAAGAGTCCTGAACTTGCTTCTACCCTCGGGACGCCTGCGGGAGACTGGCTGACAGCATTTGATTGAAAATGGTTATTTCTGGGACACATGGATGAAAAACAAGTTTTCTCTCCCTAAAACCTTGGGAGCCCCAAAAACCCAAGAATATCACTTTTCTGTGTCTGCTGAGTGTACATGACCACTCTACAGACCCCCACACAGCCTTTGTCCTTGTTCATGAGAAGGTTCATCAGGTCTTTCAACACCTGGTTGACCTGGGTGGTGCATCTGGGAAAAGAAGCCAACACACCTGTGTGGACCCTGGTCCTTGAGAGCCTGGGATATGGGGACGCCAGGTAATATCTTTGAGCCCAGAGGTCCTCATGAGGATGTAGCCCCTGAGCTCTGCGTGGGCAGCCGAGGGTCAGCTTCCCTCACCAAACACAGCAGGATGACAAGCATGGATGTGGCTGCCTGCACCCCCACGAGATATCCAGGATATTATGTGTACGGATCACCCTGTAAACTCTGAAACATAACATAGATCTTAGCTATTGCTGACTAGCATGTGCAAGAGAAGGTGAGGTTGCGGTGTGCCAGTGGGAAGGATATATGGGTGTCTGGAGGGTGGGACAAAGTTCACCACAGGTGCCTGGCTAATCAACAAGGGTGAGTTTAAGAGAAGTTTGTGAAAGGGCCAGTTCCCGTCTGGTCTCCAGTTCCCCTGCCTAATGAGATTTGTGTTTCCTTTCCGGAGTGGGTCCTCCTGGGCGCCGGCTGCCACAAATAGCACAGTGGCAGGCGCAGCTGGCAGTGGAGGGCAGGCAGTGGGGCGGGCATAGCACACATTGTGTTCCCAAGGAGGGGCACCCTGATGTGCCGGCACCCAGGGGGTTTGTGCATTCCGCGCGGGGAGCTCGGGCGTCACGGCGCGAACAAAGCGGCTTTGCAGGGCGCTCTCCTACTCCTCGCCATTGGCCGCCGGGCCGCGACCTCCCCTTGCGCTGGCAGAGTCCCAGTGCCTTACGTGGGCACAAAGTCAGTCCCTCACCCCCCAGCGCATGGAGTAGGGGGCGGGCATGGCTCTCGGGTTGCTGGAGAGGGGTGGGGTTGTGGGGTCGGAGCTGGCGGCGCCTCCCCGAGCCCGTCCGCGTTGCCCTTCACCCTCTTCGTTCCCCCGCCCGCCACACCGCCCTGGCACCTCTCGCCACCTGTTTCCTTGTCCTCCAAGCTCGCCTTCCCCTTCTCCTTATTTTGCATCCTGGGGTTCCAGGGACAAGGTCCTTCCCGGGCCGCCTCCCACCCCACGCACTTCTGAGACTCAAGAGCACCCGGTCCCGGGTCCCGGGTCTAGACTGGCTTATCGCACAGAGCGGCAGAGCCGGGCTCATCGAGAGGGCAGGAGGGGCTCGCCAGCGTGGCACGGGCGCCCAGCGAGAACCTCCACCCGCCCCGCGGCGTGTCCACGCCTAGAATTCAGGCCCACCCTGGTGCCTCGGGCTGGAGGGACGCCGACGCTCAGCGGTGTCCCGTCGGTCACCTTGGACAGCCCCTCCACCTCTCCGGCCTCAGTTTCCCTTAGCTGCAGAGACCGCGAGGCGCTAGGTGGGAGCCGCTGAGCGCTCCGGGGCCCCGCCCACCGCGAGCAGCCAATCGGGAGCCGCCGTCCGGGGGGTGTGTCCCGGGGCCGCGGCCTGGGGCCCGTAGGGCGCGCTGGGCGGGCGGGGCTTCCGGGTCGGGCCTCGGGACACTCGCCCGCGCGGACCGGGGCGGGGGGCGGGCCAAGGGGCGGTGCGTGTCTCGGGGGCGCGGCTGGCACGGACGCGCGGAGGCGGCGCCGGGCATGGGCCGTGGACGCGGCGGCCCCGCGGCGGGGGCAGCGGGCGGCGGGGGCGGAGGCGGCCGCTAGCGCCCTGCCCGGCGCCGCCTCCTTCGGCGTTCGCCCCACGGACCGGCAGGCGGCGGACCGCGGCCCAGGTGCCCGGGGGCGGGCGGGCGGGCACGCGCGCGGGGGTCCGCGGGCCGTGCTTTCCCGGTCCCGGGACCCGGAGGGCGGCGGACGGGGGAAGGGCAGAGGGTGGGCGGCGCATGCGCGGGGCCAGGGGTCTCGGGGTCCCGGGGACCTGAGGGCCCGGGGTGCGCGGCTGGAGACCTGAGGGCTAGGAGCGAGGACACACACCGAGGACTAGTGCAAGGGATCCCGGGGCCCAGCTCGGCCTCCCTCCTAGCGCTGGGGGCCTGCCCGGAACCCCAGAGTCCGCGGCTGTCCCTGGGGCTTGGCGCTGCGCGGAAGTCGGGTCTGGGGACCGCAGCGACCCTGGGTCTTCGGGTTGTCCCCTGGGAGGGAGGGCCCACGGGCAGGGACATCGGGGCTTGCCCTTCCCTCGGCGCGGTGGAGCTGGGGCGTCCCCGACTCAGAGGGTGCTTTCCGAGACCTCCAGGGATCCCCGAGGCGAGGAAACCCGGGCCCCGGACAGACCGACCCTGGGTAGGTGCGCCCGGCTGCTGCCGTCGGACGGAGACGCGCGTGTTTGTTCTTCCAGCTGCGGCCACCTTTGAGGAACGGTTCCCACTTTGTGCCCCAACGCGGCGGGGCGACCCCGGACAGGCTGTGCTGGGCCGGGTGGCTTCTCTGCGGAAGCCGCGCCACGTCGCTCCCGGTCGGGGCCGCTGCGGGTCCGGCTGCGGGTCGGGCGCCCAGGTCTTTCCGGAGTCCCGTGCTGCGCGGCCCGCGTGGTTCGGGTGAAGCCGGAGGGGCGCGGGGTGGTGCTAGTGGAAGTCCGGAGGGTCGGCTCTGTCCCCTCACGCACCCCAACTAACAGGGCACAACTGCACGCCTGTGCTTTTCTAAAGCCTTTTTTAAAAGTTAAAAGAGAGGAAGTGTGCTCCAAGTGTCAGGATTCCTTCCAAGAAAAACCCACAGTTGTCCAACGCCCTGGGCTTCGTGGGACCTCCGGGGCTGCACGCCCACGTCAGCCCCTGCCGCCCCTGCCGACCCCTGCCAGGAAACCAGGGAGGCCCCTCCTCTCCCAGCCTCCTTGGGATAAGGGTGGCTTGAGGAACTGGGTCAGGGCAAGGACACGGGGTTTTCCTGAGAAGGACCCTGCGACACCCCTGTCGTTGCTGGGCAGGGTCAGGATGACTTTCCTCTTCCAAGGTGAAGAGTTGGGGGGCATCCAGAGAACGTAGCAATCACTTCCTCCTTCACCTTCTTACTGCCAGGCTGAAGCTGAGGCCCCCGTCTGCTCTGTGGACTCACAGTTTGTGGCAAGACAAGCTCAGAACTGAGAAGCTGTCACCACAGGTAAGTAGAAGGTTTAATTTACTGTTTCCAGGTGGAAATATGTAAGTGTTTTCAGTGTTTACTGTTGTTGTACTACAGACCAGCAATCTGGGGGTTATTACTTTGTGATGCAAGGTTAGATACATTTTCAGACTGAAAGTAAGATACATGTGCATGGATTCACTTTTTTTTTTTTTTTTTTTTGAGACGGAGTCTCCCTCTGTCGCCCAGGCTGGAGTGCAGTGGCCTGATCTCAGCTCACAGCAACATCTGCTGCTGGGGTTCAAGCGATTCTCCTGCCTCAGCCTCCAGAGTAGCTGGGATTACAGGCGCCTGCCCCCACTCCCAGCTAATTTTTGCAGTTTTAGTAGAGATGGGGTTTCACCATCTTGGCCAGGCTGGTCTTGAACTCCTGACCTCGCGATCCACCTGCCTCAGCCTCCCAAAGTGCTGGGATTACAGGCGTGAGTCACCGTGCCCGGCCTAGGATTCACTTTTAAGTTCTGAGTTATTGTGTGAGTTTTGCTGGGAACTTCATTGCTTCATGGCAGGCATGTTTTGTATAATTTAAAACTTGATAACATTAACTTTGAGAAATGTGAGTGCTTAGCAGACCCTTGGGATGTCCACACTGACTGGTACCGAGCAGTATACTGTCTCTGAGCTGTTTTCATTTTGATTTGAATATTAAGTAGATGGCTTGTTGAGATAGGCCAATGCCAGAACATGCCAAGGATAGGCTGAAGAAACAGCCAGATGATACGAATTTGTGTGGTCACCATTCATGAGAGACCAGGGACACTGGGACTGATGATGACCTGTGTAACTCTGAAGCAAAAGTAAATTAATTGGCAAGCTGGGTGCGGTGGCTCACTCCTGTAATCCCAGCACTTTGGAAACTGGAGTGGGCAGATCACTTGAGGCCAGGAGTTTGAGACCAGCCTGGCCAACATGGTGAAACCCCATCTCTACAAAAAAAAAAAAAATTAGCTGGGCGTGGTGGCGGACACCTGTAATCCCAGCTACTCAAGAAGCTGAGGCAGGAGAATTGCTTGAGCCTGGGAAGTGAAGGTTTTAGTGAACTGAGATTGTGCCACTACACTCCAGGATGGGTGACAGGGCAAGACTCCATCTCAAAAACAAATAAATAAAATAAAATTAATTAACCGACAGTGGGAAAAAATGTTTTTTCTTTCTTTTCCCACATCTGTTTTTTTTCGTTTTGTTTTGTTTTGTTTGTTTTCTGAGATGGAGTTTTGCTCTTGTTACCCAGGCTGGAGTGCAGTGGCATGATCTTGGCTCACTGCAACCTCTGCCTCACGGATTCAAGTGATACTCCTGCCTCAGCCTCTCGAGTAGCTGGGATTACAGGTACTCACCACCACACCCAGCTAATTTTTGTAGTTTTAGTAGAGACAGGGTTTCGCCATGTTGGCCGGGCTGTTCTCAAACTCCTGACCTCAGGTGAACCGCCCGCCTTGGCCTCCCAAAGTGCTGGGATTACAGGCGCGAGCCACCGTGGTGGGTCCTTTTCCGACGTCTTAAACACAAAGTAAGAGACATGCCATAATCATCAAATACTGCAGTGGTTTTCACTAGCTCCTGTTTATCAAACTTTTGAACAGAGTTTTAAAAATAGTGTATCAGCCAGGCGCGGTGGCTCATACCTGTAATCCCAACACTTTGGGAGGCTGAGGTGGGCAGATGACAAGATCAGGAGTTTGAGACCAGCCTGGCCAATATGGTGAAACCCTGTCTCTACAAAAAATACGAAAATTAGCTGGACATGGTAGCAGGCGCCTGTAGTCCCAGCTACTCAGGAGACTGAGGCAGGAGAATTGCTTGAACCCGGGAGGGAGGTTGCAGTGAGCTGAGATGGTACCACAGCACTCCAGCCTGGGTGACAGAGTGAGACTCCATCTCCAGAAAAAAAAAAAAATGGTATGTGAGAGAGAGAGAACTAGAGAGAAGAAAGAGAAAACCTGTCTTCTTTATAACTATTTTATAACTTTTTATTGACTAGGTTATGAAAAATCTTTCTATGTGGAAAACATTTCTGCATCATTTGAAATGTATATATAATATCCTATTGTGTTTAGATACAATAATATTTAACCAATCTCTTTATATATGTGTATATATCTAATGCAGTCATTCTATAAATATTTACTGAGTAGCTGCTGTGGGTTACTGTCCTCAATGCTGAACAACACAAGCATGGATCCATGAAACTAATTTTCACACCAGAAATAAAAAGGAAACGTAAAGATATTCCTCCTCATGGTAAAAGATGAAGAACCTATTTTTGCCAGGACATCTTACTCTTTAGTAATTGGTGGTCAGTGTTCATTTTCTCGCGTGCTGTTTTGGAGAGTCTGTTTTTGTAATAAATATTTAAGTAGCCCAGGCGTAGTGGCTCACGCCTGTGATTTCAGCACTTTGTGAGGCCGAAGAGGATGGATTGCTTGAGCCCAGGAGTTCAGGACCAGCCTGGGCAACCTGGCGAAACCCCGCCTCTGCTAAAAATACAAAAATTAGCCGGGTGTAGTGGCGTGTGCCTGTGGCCCCATCTACTTGGGAGGCTGAGGTGGGAGGATCCCTTGAGCCTGGGAAGTGGAGGTTGCAGTGACTGAGATGGCACCACTGCACTCCGGCCTGGGTGACAGAGTGAGACCTGGTCTCAAAAAAAAAAAAAAAAAAAAATAAACGAATATTTATGTAGTCATCATTAAGCAGTCTTTTAAATTTTATTTATTTACTTATTTTTGAGACAGAATCTCACTGTGTCACCTAGGCTAGAGCACAGGTGCATGATCATGGCCTGATGCAGCCTCGACCTCCCTGGGCTCTGGTGATCCTCCCACCTCACCCTCCCAAGCAGCTAGGACCACAGGCACACGCCACCATGCCTGACTAATTTTTGTATTTTTTGCAGAGACGGGGTCTTGCTATGTTGTTCAGGCCTGTCTCAAACTCCTGGGCTCAAGCCATCCCCCTGCCTCAGCCTCCTGTAGTGCTGGGACTACAGCCATGAACCATTGCACCTGGCCTAAGTGGTCTTTAAAAAAAAACACACACATTAATTAAAATATTTATTTGCTCATTATAAATATATTTGAAATGTGCCAATGTTTTTCTCTCTCCCCCTTTTTTTTTTTTTACAGGCTTGAGCCACCGCGCCCGGCCGATGGATATATTTTTAATGGCAAATAGGACGAGTGTCTTCACTTCTAAGCAGCCAGTGTTTTTCTTTAATGTTTGTACTAATTTTGTTACATTGCAGTTAGAGGTTGTGGCCTGTCTAATTTCTGCTTTTTTGGAACTTGAGAGTCGCTGTTCTTACTTGTTTTTGGTAGCTTGGCATAGAGTCCATTTTTCTTTTTCTTTCTTTTTTTTTTTTTGAGATGGAGTTTAGCTCTTGTTGCCCAGGCTGGCGTGCAGTGGTGCAATCTCAGCTCACTGCAACCTCCGCCTTCCGGGTTCAAGTGATTCTCCTGCCTCAGCCTCCCAAGTAGCTGGGATTACAGGTGCATGCCACCACAATGCCCGGCTAATTTTTGTATTTTTAGTAGAAACAGGGTTTTGCCATGTTGGCCAGGCTGGTCTTGAACTCCTGACCTCAGGTGATCCACCTGCCTCGGCCTCCCAAAGTGCTGGGATTACAGGTGTGAGCCACTGCGCCCAGCTCTAGATACTTTTTAAAAAGGTATAGTCTCTGATTATGGGGTAGAAATGTGCTATGTCTTATGAATTGCATAGAATAAGCTAGATCACCTTTAAGGCCATGTGGTTAGGGAAACTTGGGCACAAAATTTACATTTCCAGCTTGGTGATAAGATGAGTTTAAGGTAAGAATCAAACAGGAAAAAGCCTTAGCTGTTCCAGTGGCCCATGTTTAAAAGAATGTATTTCTTTTTCCAAGTATTTCTGCCGCTTGCATGCATTGAGCTTCTGTGGAAAGGAGCACCATGCAGGCATTTTCCAGACAGGACCAGATTTGCTTGTTACCCAGAGGTGTGTGCATTCTTTGCTTTTAGGATATTTAATTAGCGTTTTTTAATAGTGATATTATGGTGTCTTGAAAGTTTATGCATTTGAAAAGAGAATAACTTACTCCTTGCTAGGTCTCACCCTGTCACGGTTATCTTTGCAGCTAAGCTGCATTTGTTTTGAGGCTCACATGTGGTAAAAGTGGTTGAAAATTTGGAAATTTTGCTTTGTATCAGCAAAGCAGCTTGATATAGTGGAAAAGGTATTAGGTCATTAATCATGAGATTTGGATTCTAGCCCCTTAGCTGCTGCCTGCCAGGCCTGGAGACCTTTGTTCCCTTCTTTAAACTGCTGTTTTCTCATCAGAAAATGGAGTTCCTCTCCATGCCACCTCTCTGAAGGGTTGTGAAGCTCAAAGTGGTGGCTTAAAAATCTGCCCATCTCAGGAGGTGTCTTAAGAAGGAGTGAAGGGGTGGCCTGCCTCTCCACACCTGTGGGCGTTTCTCGTTAGGTGGAAGGACAGACTTGAGGAAAGAAATGAGACACAGAGACAAAGTATAGAGAAAGAAAAAGTGGGCCCAGGGGACCGGCGCTCAGCGTACAGAGGACCCACGCCGGCACCGGTCTCTGAGTTCCCTTAGTATTTATTGATCATTATCTTTACCATCTTAAAGATAAGGGAGTGGCAGGACAATAGGATCATCGAAGGGAGAAAATTAGCAGTAAGACATATGGATGGATAAAGATCTCTGTGACATGAATAAGTTTAAAGGAAAATGCTGTGCCTTGATATGCATATGCAGACATCTCCACAAACCTCTTAGCAGCATTGCACCAGCAAGTCCCACCTTATGCCGTAAGGCGGTTTTCTCCTATCTCAGTAAACAAAGCATACAATCCGGTCTCACACCGAGATGTTCCATTGCCCAGGGACCCAGGGACCGGCAGGATTTTTAACCAGCAAGCTGCCTTCAGGCACTTGTTTAACAAAGACACATCCTGCACAGCCCAAAATCCATTAAACCTTGAGT